AAAATTTAGTACTGAAAACAGTATCCTGATAAACAAATGGGTATCGCTTTTTTGTCGAAGCAATCTCAGTTCATTTTCATTTTTTAGGGTGATGAGCAGGCTTCGTTTTTAGAGAAGTTTTGTTATTCGTTTAGTTTGAAGAAGTAACTTGCGTTAAGCCACGAAACGTCAGAAATGCAATTTTTACTCATTAGGGTGTTGCAAAAATATATTTATCATTGAAATTGTCTCGAATGGTAATTTATTAGATATCATCTCCAACCTTATCATTGATACTGAGACTGTAAATATGTGATAGGCAGGGAGAATGTGATATATTTTTGGCCGGTAAACAGTATATTTGGAAAGGCTAAATATTAGACGGTCCGTGTAAATTTATCTCGGGTACAAATGGGTGTTCCACGAAGTTGGTGAGTCTGATTACAGTAGAACAAAAACACGACGAGTTTTCTGAGTTTTCATAGAGTGCAATAATAAGAAACAGATAATGACACCATTTTCTGTAATAAAATATATAACACCCGACATAACAGATGTTTAAACTAATTGTTCTCTCTCACATATATCACGATAATACGTCAATGAGACTAATCACGTTATACAGTAGCAGTGTGATATACTAAATGGATGTCTAACCCACTATACAATTACTTTAAATACCTCAACAAAACGTAAGAGAGCTTAACATCACAAAAGGAGGGAGGGTGGCGTTACCGACCAGTAAAAATGGTGGTGACGAGATAAGTTCACTCCACGTATGTCTGTGGGGCAGCACATTTTGTTTTATTACAGCTAATAATGATCAATTGAAATGTCACGAACCAATGGTATTGATACTGATTTATTATACAAAATACCCCATTAAATCGTGTTTGGAACGCTGAATTGATTTTACTTCCTACCGAGCAGTTCCATTACAAGCGGACAAGACAATTCGCCATAAATGAAGCCTGATCAAGACCTTATAAAGTATACACAAAAATGGGCTCAAATAGCTTCAAATAAAAGAGACAGCCATTTGTGTATAAAGCGCGCCAACTGTGATGTCAACAATACGAGTCTTGCTAAAGCCATCTACATTTATATCTAATAAAATATATACCCTACTGAGCAATTTGCTACAGTGAAAAGTGTATCTTTGCATGTAAACTGGCATGCCTCATATAACAAAGTGTTATTTAAAAACAAGTCATTATTATTGGAAGGCCAACGATGGTGAACGCTGAAATATCCAATCCTATGGTATAGCTCAGCCTTGCAAATGTGTACATTCTGTATAACGTGTCTGTATTCATGTTAAATACATTATACTCTATTCAGCCTAAATGGGTTCTTCAGAAATGTTAGACGTTATATTGCTGATTCTTACGATACAAAGATTCACTGTAGACAGTGGTGTGACTTCCACTTAAGATCTCATAGGTTAGATTGTGAAATCATGACAAATCTACAATTCAGGATCAGGTCTATTATTACAGCAGTGTTAATACCAAACTAAATCATCAATCTACAAGTCCACTTCGAAGACTGACTTTTCAGCTTATGACATTTCTCATATATCTGCATATATCACCGGTCATCGACATGTAAGTCTTGCCAAGGGCTTCATTTTTTCAACACCTAGATGTTCACTATGAAGATATCCAAGGACAGATTTACATAACGATGTAGGAATAGCAAAAAATAATTCAAACGCGAAATGCCATCTGGATAATTCATCTTGCTTCGAAAAATGGACAGGAAATCTAAGTTTAAAATTAGCATCCCATCCTTTTCCCGTGGTGCTGAGTATACATCCAACGTGTCGAAGAGATTCTAAGACGAGATCTAGATGTCTCGACGGCAAAAGACGCACTAAAAAAACAATGTACAGCATTAATACGTTTATCTTGTAATGATTATTGAGATATGTAGTCAACATGTTGACTACACGCTTCATGACTTCATGAATTATGGCTGGGGAATAGCTTGAACAAAAGGGAAGAAAGTTTGTTTGAATAGGCCGAAGGGAATGTTAATTATTGTTAACATGAATAAAGATTGATCTAAATGAATTTGAAGCTAAGCATCTTTTAATCCAACCTTCCAGAATACCTTAGAACCATGGAGCCGATTTAGAAAATATTTCAGCTCCAACCGTCGTGAACTCCTGTTTAAACAAACAGAAGTCCACTATTAATTTATAATCACCACACATTCTAGGGATCGCGTCATCAGACTTCGAGAGTGTGAAGTAGAAGTACCACATACTGAAAAACAAATCGGGTCAATTATAAGTTCCACACACAAATCGTTCAGTGTCTCATGTACTGCCTCTCAAAAAACATAAGGGATTATTTGTCACTTAAGAAAAACTGGATTGCCATTTACTTGAAGTTTTGTAGGCTGAATTTCCATCCCTCCACTACATTTAGCACACGCAGGTATCAGATCCCTAATTTAAGCGTCAGCATCTTCTTTAGAAATTAATAAAGACAACTTCACTTTAAGCCTTTCTAAATTTGTCAAACGCAGCATTAACGTTCATGTTTCAGTGAGAACCCACAACGCATGTATGAAAAATTATCACCTTTAATTAGCAATTCATAGCATCACCATATTGGCACTTTGTGTCCAGTAATCACCAATACTGAGAATTCGGTGGGTCGTGCTACAAAGTCAAAATCAAAAGATTAAAAGATGTTGAATGTAACAATGGACCATATACTGCCTGTGTCAACAATAAACTCATGAATTGAAACGATGGATGTATATAATTTCTTCTCAATATGAACACTACCTTTCGAAATAGTGGATAGAGATAAATGACTGTTAGAAACACCCAACGAATAAATAATAACTACAGGGTTTATCAAGACTAGTGGCAAAATGAACAGTAGCTCCACATACAGACTCAATGTGCTTCATTTGACCTTATTTGAGGCATTAAACATGACTAAAGACACATGAGATACGAAGGTGAAATTTACCACAATATAAACATTTACCAAACCCGTGCTCATCTCTGGTAACCTACTTTGCAATCCTTTGTTGAATCACTTTCCATATTTTCATGAGAATGTGAACCATTATTAAACAAATGTGAGATTAAATAAAACTGAGAATGTAGTTCATCTCGACGACTAAGCAAATTATTATAAATTTTCATTGACTCGAAGTTAAGCTCATTTACTGTCTCATAGTTATTACATGCTGTAATTCTTGAAATGAACTTTTGAGTTTTCGGATTAAATCTCTCCCTCTAAATTTGTGATATTTATCCTAGTACTCAACCGATCATGAAGTTGAGTTTCTGATTGGTCTCCGAAAATGCACATCGCGGACTGTCTCTGTGGATCAAGTATGAAATTTTAACTTTCTGATCATTTTATCACATCGTTTTATGATAATCTGTAATCTCTGCATTCAATCCTAGCACAGCGCAAATGACTAAGTAGTAATTACTTGGGAGATTCATATGACAATGAAATTGATTCCTCTGGAAAAGCCAGATTCTTCAGCAGGTTATATGCTTCTTTTTCGTAAGCGACAGGGAATAAGCTATGAATTTATTATCATTAATATACTTTTTATTCATGCATCACATCGCTCCAAGTAGTAATCAAACTCATCCTCACTTGAGTTAATAACCAGTTTTCCAGGATTTGACTCTGTAGTGGCATTGGGCTCTAACCACACAATCCTTAAAGCTGAACACTAGACAACTGGGGAACTAGATATTCAATATTTAACGCGGAGAAAAACCCAAGATGGGGAAGGCGGGAACAATAAATTGAATTAGTTCAAATCCATTGGATGGCATGGTTCGGTCTTGCAGGCATAGACATTATTGAGTGTTAACATATACCAGTTATTCATATTAAATATATTGTTCTATCTCTAGCATAAGGGTGTTCTTCACCATATAATAATGATTGTTACGACACGATGAGTTGGTGCATATGATAATGTGACTTCCACGTAAGATCTTATGGATTAAGCAGCTACATAATGACACATTTGAAAGTTTAGGATTAAGTCTATTATTAAAACAGCACTAATATCATAGTAGACCATGATTCTACAACCCCACCGCGACACCAGTACTGTAATTCAAAGTATTTGAATTAGTGTGCTAACCAAGAATTTCCGGAATAGTGCAGATAGATCTAGATGGACTTAAGGGAACGTATTGTATATATAATTGGTTATCAAGTACAAAGGAGACATACGTTCTCTAGACCATCAACGATGATGACTCTGTCAAATAACTAAGGGCCTGCTGGAGTAAGACGGAAACGGTGTGACCAACAGCTAACGTCAAAGTCACACCTCGAGGTTGGTACTTAACGTGTATCATCCCCTCGTCGTATCAAGGTACTATGGATGCTTTAAGGGACATACAACACAAGTGGCGTTATTATAAAAATATATGAGTTAAAATAGGCACAAGCAATAGTGTAACTACAACCTCAGGGACCAGTCCATGGAGTACGATTAACTGTGTGTGTTGGTTGCCCATGACCCTGAAAGGTATCGAAGATCTACCCGATATTCAGTGACTCAAATGCCAAATTACTTGTCTACAACTCAGTGATCTTTCACTGACCCCACAGTTCGTACAATTGTCACAACTTATTACATGGACAGAAGCTCGAAACAGGTATGGAGACCATAGTAGCCCTGTCGTTTTTCGAAGAGTCTTAACTAAAAAATATGACAGGATAAGTAAATAATATCTAATACAAATCACCAATTTCTCTAGAATTTCAAGGATATATAAACTACCGATACATGAATAGCGTATTTTTGCCAAGTTTAGAACAATTTCTTTAAGCATGTTTCTATAGATCCTTAAAGAATATTCTCAAATGAGCATACGAAGAACAAACTTATTTCCGTATATATGTCGTAAACTACGCATTGACTGTAATTATCAGCAAAGCCCTTTCTTTATTTTAAAGAGTAACGGAAAAATTAACAATACAATAAAGACTTGATTGTTTTAACTAATCCATTTTATTCGCTGCTGTAACTACACAGTGTGCACAGTTTTGGATTGAAGACATAACACTACAAGATTCAACTGAAAAATGGAAGATCCAGTAGCTAAAAAGGTAGAGGATAATAGAAGAGTACATACATATCCACTGTTAAAAGTAAGTTTATCAACTGGACATAGAGGACTTATCTTAAAATACAAATCTCCTGATCTTGAAGAAATATTTTCAAGATCAGGTGTTTAAACACCACAATCTCCCAAATTTAGGGAAATTTCGGGGTAATCCACAAGATTTAATGACCTTCACCAAGGTTAAATGGAAAATTTGGGGTTTTGGTGTCATTTTCCTAAAAGTTTCTATGTCAGCTTTCCCAAAGTTTTCAAAGAATTGGTCCAATTTTCGCCAAAACTTGGAGATTGGGACATGTGCATGCAACAACAAATCATGAGAAAATGACACAATGACCTGGAAATCTTTTCTGATCTGAGTAATTTTCCTAAGATTAGGTTTTCTCTAATATCTATATAGTTTCAGATTCACAAAAGTTTTGAGATATTCTTTTTGAAATCTAAAGATTGGGTTCAATGGTATATAAACAAAAGACTTATCAATATTTCAGTATGGGATACTATATTGAACTCATAAGAAAATATAAAGTTTTTTCTCGAAAAGACTTAATAAATGATCAAGTAACTTTGAATATGAGGAAATATTCAATAATGGACTACTTTACAGGGATAGGAAATTTATACAGTCCATTTCTAGAGCAAACGCCATGTTCCTACACATCAGATGAGAAAAGTTGATGATAGTGAAAGTAAAGCGAAAACTCACATTACTATTCAGAATGTATTTTGCAGTTCATAATTCATGAGTGAATCGAGAGAATTTTCTTAGACGTAGCTTATGATTTTGGGGCGAAACAATTGTCTCTGGACGAAACCTTCAGATTCGAAATCTCATGTCTTGGATTTTACCATCGAATTTATCTATGTATATGTCTAAGTAACATTTTTGCACTACTACTGATGTCACTTCATGATGAAGATCCCTATCCGTAGTTCCGAATCCTAACGTCCGACTGTAAGTTCTAATCTTAATTCCCCATATTAATTTATAGCACTCATATGATTCTAGTAAGTAGATGGACATTTTCTAAGTCGATCAATAGTACACTAAATACAGTCTCAGGGATTTTAAATTGCTAGAGGAATTAGAGCATCTGATGTTTTCTCCATTAACGACAATGATGATATAGAATTACTTCGGTTGTTGTATAGTTTCTATTAGACACATTCCAGGGCTCTGAGTTAGCTGGTTTTTTCGAGTCACCCAAATTTACTTCGAAAATTAGAGTGGTGCTAACCAACTTCCACTTATTTGACTGCTTTTGAAACCAAAAAACACCGACATAAAAAATAAACTATCGTAGCATATCTTAATATTGTATTGTAAAGGAGCAAGGTTTTAAGCAACATATACTTTGGTAGCTTCTAATTTACTGTACATTTCGTATTACTCTGTAATGTCCCCCATAATACTTCTCCAGAAATTTGTGTAAAGGTCGTTCTATGTTTCATAGGTCTTCCTTGAAATATGTTAGTAGTATTATTGGTGCATTTTTTGACTTTATTATGAACATGGTTTCAGAAAAGCATTTAAAACCTTTTAAATAGCAAGTGTTATTTTATTAAATAAAATATTGACCTTTGGCAGTAGATAAATATAACAGAATTTCGTTTTGTAACTAGTATAACAATACCTGAAACCACCAAGTTGTTTGATATGTAATTTAAGATTGTTTGTAATTTTTTCTCTATCATTTATTCTAGCATAGTGATATGAATGAAGATATGCAGACTGAAGTAATGGAACTATGTGTGACAGCATGTGAAAAATTCTCAACCGATAATGAGGTGAGCTACTTAAAAATACAGTTCACACACCTAACAAAATCTTAATGCCATTAAGGTGTATAATATAGTTATTCAACCCTCGGCGAGCAAGGTTAAACAATAGGGTGTAGGTGAGTCTACCCCTATCTAATATTCGTAGCTTAACAAAATCCGAGAAACGTTCTTAGATCTTCGGTTGCAATAGTTATTTTCTTGACTTGACTTGCATAATGTATTCTGCTATCTGTTTCGGATAAAATCGACGTGCAATAACATTTATCCTTTTCTAACTTACGATGATATCCACCAATAAATACGTAACATGTTATTGCATACCCCATCAGATAACCGATAACTTGAGTTACAAATTACTTGTATAACTAATACAATATGGGATATTTTTCCAGCTTGATAGAACCCTAAGTCTAACCGGTAATAAAATTCATATTTTCTAGTAAACGAAACGGCTCACATGACTGGGTTATACTGAACGAAGAACATAGATTTTACTATGGATAAACCTGTTACTGTGGCCTATCTTTTAAGCTCTTCGATCCGCAACATCATTTTGTTCCTGCCAGACTGAGAGTTTTAGATTGAAGTATAAGTTTAATCCTCCATTTCGCCATGGTTTTACTAAACAAACATGTTATAGTGAATCGAGGTAGAAGAGTTCTAAAATGGATTTGATTTATAGCTCTTACAAGGTTGAGTGAGCTATCCTCAGAAATTTAAATATTTTTATTTTATCTACTACTTTTCATTACAATGTTTATACACATTTTTAATTCCTACCTTCATCCACTTAATTATTAAGGCAGCAGCTCGTTTTGTAAAAGAAACTATGGATAAAAAGTACGGAGCAGCATGGCATGTAGCAGTTGGTGAAGGTTTTGGTTTTGAAATTACCTATGATATTAAAAATATTTTATACATGCTATGTGGTGGAAATTTAGGCATAATTGTCTGGAAATGCTGTTGATAATAATTACAGGATGTAAATATTTCAAAAAGGAATAAGAATACGTGTACACTATTTTCTACTATTAAAAATGTATATTTTTATAGTAAACTATATTTTCACAAGCTCTTTGTCATATTTTGCTCTGTTATGTTGAAGTTCCCGAGTCCAAAAAGATAGAAGCAAATAAATGTATTGACTATCATAAATGTCACTGGATTCCAATCACTTTTTTAACATACGATATTTTCCAATTAACAAAAAACCTCTTATAAACTAAAACATCAAAAATACTTGAATCATTTCACCAATATGTATATACTTAGATTTGTAAAATATATCTAGGTTTGTAACTAAAAATAACATTTAAAACAGGAAAATAAACCCATTAGAGTTATAACAAAAAACGGAAGTGATTCAGTGAAAAAAGAGTTCATTTCAATTATGTTATTTACTTAAGGAGTACAATTGTTTACAGCTAATTTTACATACGATAACCTATAATAAAACAGAAGGATAATAGCGTAATTTAACAAATTCATTGAAATAAACCGGAAATTTCCAAATGATCGAATATAGTACTTAATAATAAGATAAGTGTTGCATCACTTACCAAAGTTATCGACGGCTGGAAAGTTGTGTTTTTTAAGTCAAGAACGCCCATGTGAGTCATAACAAATGGTTAGAGATTTTGGGTGACATGTTTCAAAGTAGTTCGCATTGGCACAGACGCATTTACTCCCCAGCTTCCAAGTTTCTATATCTCTGATGCCTAACCTATTCTATTAATATTACCACCTCTACTACTCTGGGATTTGATTTGACAATTTCATCTCACTGTCCTAATGATGTGTGGAAACTTGAATCGATGCATACGTAAGACAGGTTATAAGTTGCGTATAACTGACTAAAACATTATAAAAAATAATAATTTGCAGAAAAGATGTGAAAGGCTATCGTCCACCTAACGAGAATGAAGACTGAGAAGTCAGTAATACTGATTTTATCGAACACGCCTCTATTCCATTACATACAATCGCATGTAAAGAATAATCATAAGTACGATTTTACAGATAAGGTAAATGCCGTCGAAAGGAAGATTCTCTTCACTTAGCTTAATAACATTTATATTTTCTGATTTCTTCGTAAGAAAGAAAACAACCGAAGTCGTTTGTATTTATTTAAATATAATCTGAGGTAGTAGACCGTATTTGAAACTGTAACTTTGTCTGGTAAGAACAAACCAGTACCAATCAATCTACAGTTGTCTTGACCCCCATTTAGATTCAGATATAACCCATAAGTCAAAAATTGTTGACAATGGCGTAACGTTACTCATTTTATTTCAATCTATTGGTACTACATACATTTTAGGACCACTGTGTATAGAAGTGACAGATATCATTATGTATCAGCTGGAATTTCGTTGGAAAATTAAGAGCATCGACGAGTTGTTTTAGTGTAGTTTGTGACCCATCTCGACAGTACATACTGTTATATCCTAGTGACGATTAAACTACAGGTAACTCCTAAGAACTATTAATGAACTGATATTATATATATTCTTATTGCATAACTATTCAGTAACTGCATTTTGTATGTCTATCTTCCTCTTATTATAAGCTTTATTTTGACCTATAGACTATTATTACACGATTTAATGTACTTAAGTCATGTTCAGATTATTAATTGCCGTCTAAAATCACAGCCACTTTTTGGCCTGATCATGTACAAATGTTATTTTCTATTTTATGGTAAGATGTGGTCCGTTCGGCTTGTATGTAAATCAGGTATTTTTGAAATAAATGTTTCGTATAGTGGAAGCTGGTATTGGCGTTCTGGACTCAACCGACAGTGTTAGGAGGACAAAGGACCAATAAGGACACTAATATGCTCATAACGGTCATTGGTTTGGCACAGTACTAAGATTGAATAAGTCGTATTTCGATTGGCGAATAAATCACGTGACAACTAGCCGAGTTTAAAGTCACAACACATACACTAAAACGAATGTTCTACATCGCACTTGGACAAAATATCATTCGGGAACTGATTCAAAATATAAAAATTTATACTTGTTAACCTTTCTCAATATCTGAAAAAGTGACCATCAGTCAAGATTAGCAGTAATCTTTTACCCACAGATCAGCCGTAATTGACTAAATAGGTCTTACGTTTCCCATATAACCTTGAAAAGGGCACTTACACGATATCGACACAACATGGAACCGTATGTAAAATACATTATCCCAAGTTTTCACATTATACAACTGCAAAAGCAACAAAGACGCAGGACAACCAAAACAAACGATGTTATTAGTAGACGGAGAAAATGGATGTACAGCAATACAATAGTCGAAATCTATCAGTAGACAAAAAATATCGATTTCACCACTGACCAATTTCAAGGATTATCCCTCAGAGCCTTTTAAATGGTAACTTTTAACCCGATGAATCACTAAAGTCTATGCTGTCCAGTGTAACAATCAATGTTTTCACCGGTCTGCATTTACTCCTGTCTACTCACAATCTTTTACCAGTTTATTATGATAACAGACAACTTCGGATGTCGGGGTGGAAAGTGACTTGTTGAGTAAAATACACTTTTCAACAACGTCATTCCTTTCAGGTTCTGAAATACATAGACTTATTTTGTCTACAGCTTTCATCCACATACAACACTACTGACTAGGTAGTTTCATTGTAAATAAGCGGTATTTTAGAAACACAAGGTAAATTTTCCATTCTTGACGGCCACAATCATAAAATGTCAAACTTGACTACTGCATCGTGTGCTTACAGTTTAATAAACAGCCAGATGTTCTGTCAGTCTCACTTGCGAAGACGGCTAGTAGATGGACATCATTTGCGCAAACCGCTCATTATGACTTTAAATGGTGATATGAATACGTAATATATTTGTTTAGAAATCTCTTCATAGTCAAATAACCCCGTAAGTCTCAAAGAGAAGTTACATACAACCTTTACGGTAAGAGAACATTATATTATGCTTGCATTCTGGCGAAAAGTAGATTTTTGGTCGATGCATCTACTGGTTCGCTGGCTATTAATCGAATGACTATGAAAACCAAGACCGGATGCTAGTTTAGTCAAACGGATTCCATTGAAAATGTGTTACAACATTACTTTATCCAGACCTTGGTTGGACAGTAGACAACAGGAAATAGCACGAAACCAAATAAACTAATAACCAAGTGTTATAATAACAATTAGTTAGCTTCAGTGATATATCCGCTATCTTAAGCTTCCCGACGTGTTAACAAGTACTTCAGATATCCAACCTCAGTTATCTCTAGCCTGATTTATTTCAGTTCGGTCAACTGGGTTATACGTTTTGTTCTAGCATAATAAACCAAAAGATAGATTTAAACACGTATTGGGTTTCAGAAATTAATCGAACTGCATGTGCTGCGTAGATAAATCGACACAAACAACGAATTACTACCACCCGTCATAAATAACCAGTCAGTCAGCTGCAACGTAGGACCAGGCACATATATGCATCGGTCCAAGTTGCCATACCTCATTAGCACAACAAGATGAACACCGGATTCATAGAAGCAGTTAATTCAGTGGTAATATATAGAAGAAAGATTGCATATAACGACATAGTACAGGAAGAAAGAATTAGTTCGTAGAAAGAAAGATATGAAGCGATTTTAATCTCAGTTTAAAGGAAGACAGAGAGTGTATACAACGACGTCATAAATAATGTTACTAGACAGTCTTCACAAACGATGGGCGAACCCGTTTTCGTTCTCTCGTTATCGTGCTTAAGTCTTACTAGTACTTATCTTTCTGCACCGACCGTTCTAAACCAAACTACTGATGTCCTTTAGTGCTTACTAACCCTGTAATTCCTGTTACTGCTCCTACGATAGATTATGTACACAGCTCCTATGTGTATCAAGATCATGTTCTCATAACAATAACATTAGTTCTTCCTTAAATATAGCACTGAGACTCACCATTGGCGTGAGTTCAGATACCACCATGAAATAGGTTCCAGGAGACTTCCCGGGCATATATATATGTTTAACATCTAAACAGATATATCACAGGTAGTTTCAATTCCGCTTAGTTTATTTTGATATTCTACTTCAAAAAGAGATATATAACAGATCAAATTACATGCTACTAAAATATGTTGGTGATCACGAGTTAAAAGTTCCAATCAAACATCACCTCTTCTAGATGATGAACCTAACAAAGAAGTGCTAACAGGGAAACAAATATCACTTCACATATACAAACTGCAAAAACTAATTGATAACTCAGTCGAAATTCTCATCAACATTTTATACAGTAATAAAACCTAAAAATGAAATATCGACCAATATTACTACACCGATTATAAGCTTTTAAGCGGGGATAGTAATTTGACTTGGTGTGCAGGAGTTGTGTACATGTGATATTTTGTGAACATGAAAGCTGGGGACCAACAGAATTGTGGCGGGATTGGGTAAGTTGATAGCTTTAAAAAATATTCAACGTGAAAAATAAGTACAAATGAATTAGCCACGTGTCACCGAAGTAACAGAGGATGACTTATGATAGAAGCAGTAAGCATTTGTGTTTAGGTGTAAATTAACAGTTCTATGTGAGAAAAACAGGACAGCATTTCTACAGTCTTTTTCAAATATGGAGGATATTGTAAATCTGTTGTAAAAGCAGGTTGATGTGTGCTTTCTTTCATTAATTCAAAGTTCTCAGACAGTTTTGACCCATTACAGAAATTTGAATAGCTTCATAATACCATACTACTATGATTATTTTATAAGCATCGTTATTATTATTAATCCAAAGATTGATTATTTTATGACATGTAATGAAACATTGGATCAATATCATCTCTGGTTGACTAGAAAAGAAAAGGTAAAACACATTTTTAAAATTAAAAGCTTGGACGTAAAATCGTAGATTAACAAAAAAAAGAATATATGCACCTGAAGACAGAAACTGCACAATAAAGTGTACGATTAAAGGGATAGTAAATTTACATTAAGGACTGATCTTAGTTAAAAAAAAACACGAAGTAATGGTCAGCTGCCTCATCCTAGCACAGGACTCCTCAAAAATGCGTATTCACAACTACACTGGAGATCGAACACAGGCAAGTGCCTAATCTTAAGATCAGTAAGCTGGAACCCGAGCCGTGAATGCGTACACTTGAGGAGCTTCATACTAGGACACAGCAACTGCTCAGTGTTTTTTGGTTTTATAACTCAAAGCAATCTATAACGTAAACTATGAAACTCGATAATTTCTACAAAATCCCTATAGTGATAAGATGAATAATAATTTGACAGTTATTGATAGACAATCTTGGACTAGTAGTACTTAATGATCAAAATGAAACAATAAATTGATTATCTCAAATAATTATAAATATCACAGCATCCATGTGTTTAGAGAAGTGTAATCAACTTCCGAATATAACTTTAGCTGGGTGACTTTTAAATCGTATGGTTTAAAAAGAAAATGAGAGTGATACCAGGACATAGTTAGGAGACAAAACTTTGTTATTCAGTCGTTTATATCAAATTTGACATCCTTTTAGATCGTTTAACTTATGTATTGAAAAAAGTAACTTTCAAATGAAAATGCTAAACCAATATTATTTGAAATTAAACAACTTAATTGGACTCTAACAATTGAACAACCGCCAAGTTAAGAGTCTGAACTGTACATTCAGGAAATTATGGGACTTGTACGTATTTGATCATAGATATTTTCGGAACAATTCATGAATATGGTGAGACTACCGAGTGAGAAATGAAGGTGTTAGGCACAGGATACTAAGTAAAGGTACGAAATATGTTCATCAGATTGTGAACTCTAGTTGACTGAAGTGTTTATAAAACGTATTATATATGCCCAAACACTTTGTCGGCGACCAATTTTAATGAACATTGGGGTGAATAGATTCTATATTGTTTATATATTTGTTTTAAAAACACTGATATAGTTGGTAGGTGAATGTTTAAGTTGTAAAACAAATCGTTCTTGGAAATTAAAATAACACAACTAAAAACAACCTTTGAGAACATGGTCGTAGTTTAATGGAACAAAACAGCACAGAAAATACCTCAATAAGTGATGAGAGAAAAATTTACTCATGAACTACATTTTATAAAGTCAAATATAACCATAGTATACCAGTTAAAAAAGAATTATTACCTTAACAGTAAGCTTCTGACGTGCTAATGCCATTCGAAGTATCAGTGAATGTGTACGATTTTTATACTCATCAACAAGTCGTACAGCTCGAGCAAACGTTAGACATCGCTGATCCACGTCAAGAACACGAAGAAGCTATGTATCAATTATGGATAAGAAGGAAAGTAACACTAAGAATCAGTAAAGAACTATGTATATTTACGTATGTAGTTCCATAAGTGATTAATAATACAAAATTTAACTTTTATTCAACTAACAGTACAATTATTTCCACACTTATTATTGACATAGCGTTAGAGATGCTTTCAATCAGGATATTTTATTTACAAAACATTCTAGATATTTAGAACTACAGAACTAGCCGAATTAGCATTTATACACAATACAATACAGTATATATTGAATTTTAAAAACAATGAATACTACTTGACAAAAAAGAATCATCCTGGATTTAAAAAAAAACTTGCTTTCCTGTGCATAGGTGAAAAGGTTGTCGTTGTTATATCTAACCATACCACTTGACCTATTATTTAACAAAATATTAATCATAAAGGGTTGGAAATTTATTTCCTAAATCATTTGGGGACCGGTTAGACTACTGAAACAACCACTCTACCACTACTGATAGCTTTACAATTTAATAAACACTATCCGTTAAAACTTTTTTTAAAAAAAATCACAATACAACACAAAATAATAAGATTACCTGTTTATGTGAATCAATACGA